ATATATATATGTGTGTGTGTGTGTGTGTGGGTGTGCGTGTGTGTGTGTGTGTGTGTGGGTGTGTGTGTGTGTATATATATGTATATGTATAGATATGTATATAATAATATATATATATATATGGTAAAAACAAATTCAAGTGTAAAAAGTTGTTTTTCCATTGTTTTGAATACGTTAGTTCATGCTTCAAGAACTAAATTATTATATTCCAATAATGTTATAATAATAGATAGCTATTATTAAGACCAGCCACCAGTTGAGAAACTGCTTACAGGCGTCTTTGTAACGTACTCCTTTTTATTATATGGTAAATTGTAATGGATAAAAATACATTACTTCTATATATGTAATAAGATAATTAGTACATTTGATTAACATAACAAGTCTTCTCGATTTTTTGCCTTTTATATTTATTTCCTATCAAACAGCAAATGAACAAAACCCTGAATAAAGCAGGGAAATGAACAATAAAAATTCAACAAAAATAAATATATCTCCTTAATTAAAACTATAATTACCTGATTCTTATTTTTCTTATTAGTACGTTAGCTTTTAATCAAAATTTGAACGTTAAGATGTTTCTCATTAATTAAACTTACGCGTAGATATTATATTCCAATATGTTATAAACATAGATATAATATTAGTACCAGCCACCAGTTGATAAATAGCTTGCAAGTGTCTGTAACGTACTCCTTTTTATAATAAGGTAAATTGTAAAAAAAAGATTAGTACGTTAGCTTTTAATCAAAATTGGATCGTTAAAAATATTTCTCACTAATTACCCCTGCGCGTAGATATTATTATATCCCAATATGTTATAAACATAGATAGATATTATTAGGAACAGCCACCAGTTGAAAAATGGCTTGCAGGCGTCTGTAACGTCTGCAAAGTTACTCCTTCTTATAATAAAATGAAATGTATGTAAATATTACTCAGTTTTTGCATCCTTTTTCTTCAATATGATTGAAATGAAGTACACAGTATATTTTAGTAAAATTGTGATCATCGTCGTGAGATCGTTGTATTCTTTTCTTCACATTGTACTCTTATTCAACAGAGAAAACCCGCCACTTACAGAATGGAATAAAATCTGACAATAATGTAACATTAACAATTTAAGCAATCTTAATAATTAAGAAAAACAAATATATTAATGTTTAATTTTTTTCACCTTAAAACACTGACATAAAACATGAGTACATACTGTAGACCTAATCACAAAAATTGGAATAGAAAAACCACATTATGATTTTTTAAATGTTAAAAATTTATTTTGAATCCGACTAAAATCAAATGAATGCTATAAATTATAATATGAATAAAAAAAATCGAGAATTATTTATTATTTATATGGTAACAATAACAATAATAATAATATCAGCAAAAATTTAAACAATACATATAAATGTTAATGCTAAGACTAATAATTAATATTAAAACTAACGGTAATAAAAACAATAAGAATAACAATTAATAACAGCAATAATAATAATAACAATAAGTATAGTAATACTTAAAAAATTAGTATTTTATACTTGATGAATTATTCCTTCAAAGTGTAGTACCAGTAAATGACTTGTGGCCGAGTTGGTACCAGTAAATGTCTTGTGGCCGAGTTGATTTCTGGCCGAGTTAACTTGTGGCCGAGTTGAATGTGGCTGAGTTGACTTGTGGCCGAGTTGACTTGTGGCCGAGTTGAATGTGGCTGAGTTGACTTGTGGCCGAGTTGGATCGAATTCGTTCAATCCCTTTAAGCCTTTTAAAACAAAAATTTAAAAAAATTGCCTTAGTCTCATCTTATATTATGTATTATTACGCCAGCAAAAAAATTCACATCACGATCCAAAAATAGGCCTAGACTAGACTGCTAGACTAGAGAGTGAGGAAGAGGACGTACCTACCTTACAAAGGAGAAAGGTCTATTCAAAAGTGGAGATTAATATTAATAATAATATTGGCCTATTCATGAAAATAGGACAACTAATTATGGTTAATGTACGACTTGCAGACACCAGACAATTGACGATTTATTTTGAAATACAATTTGTAAAAATCAAAATTAATATAAGTTCTTTGTGAGTTTCTTTTTTAAAATCTTCTATTATATTTTGATTAGTCCGCACGCATTTAAGTTTGATATTTCATAATTAAATTTGATGCTCGTTGATCTTTATCATAATACTGTATTAAATTTTTAAGATAAAAGTCTAAAATCCGTGGTAAGTGTATAACCAAAGAGTTATTTCTAATCAGCACACGCGTTCCATAAAAACCTCACGCATGGAATCGCTCGCAGACTGCGCATGTTGACACTGACTGACTATATAAGACAAAACACAGTTCTGTAGACACCAGACTGACAACTGATTATTG